TGTTCCTGACTTTCTAGACAGTGGATCAGTTCCCCTACTTCCTTGGATACCACATACCACTGCAGCTGTGGCTCTGAGGCTTCATGAGATGGATTCATCGATTACACATATACAGCTTGAGAAAGCTGAGCCCAACGGAGACAAAGAAGTCAAAGAATATCTGGTGAGTGTTCCTGTTCTTCTCTCTGCTCTCATTGAAAGAGAATCAGGTGTATGATTACTGACACAAATGCTTGCTATTCTTTTAGAAAAATACAACTCTTGTGATATTATGAAGATTTGGCGGTTCTAGTCTAGCTGGATGGAACCCCCCAATATTGAATATGCTAGCCATATATGTAATTGATGTTGGTGTTTGTACATCTTTCACTGTGTCAATGAACAAGTGGTCTTACATATCAGTCTATCTGCATGGGACCTCCCTTATAGAATATGTTGAATTTACGTTGATAGTGTTTATACAACTTTCAACGTGCCATGAATGAGTGATCTTACATTTGCTTTTCTTGTCCACAGAAGCTCCCTATGAGACTTGCCCCACTGAAAGAGTCTGAACAAACAGAAGTAGGCCACAATGAATACATTCGGGAAGAGAACAACACTCACCTGAAAAGTGCACGAAACAGCTTTAGACGTGGTAGAGGAGGTCGTGAGCAAGGGCGCGGTAAAAAGTGGCAGAGAAAAGTGAATAATTCCAAATCTGGTGCAAGTCGGCAAAAGGGTAGTGGGAATCTGAGTCAAGGGTTTAGACCGGTTGGGAAAAGAACACAAGGACAAGGGAGTGCACGGGGTCGCAGAACTGTTAGAAAGAGGAGAACAAAGGACAGGGCTGTTGAGGGGACACCTCTGGGCCGCATGACTGACGTACACAGTAGCCCTGAGAGTGGAGGTGAGTCCCCGAGAAACTTGGGTGAGGAATGGGATGATGAAAAGATAGATATGATCCATATGAAAGGTGATGAACAAGGCGAGGGATATGAACAAGCAGAGGCATTGGAATCTGAAGACGATGACCAAGCAGTGGGATATGAACAAGGAAACTGGGAAACTGGATTTGATGGGACTTCTAGCGGATGGCACGAGGGCTTACTGGAAGCAAGTGATGAGGATATGGATGCTTCTGAAGATGACAATAATGGCATTGAAGAAGTGAGAGATGAAGATTCAGAGGGGGATGTAGATATGAGTGATGCCTCGGATGAAATACAAAACAAGATTACAAATGATGATGGCTCAGATTCTGCAGTTTCAGATGACTATAGTGATTGAAGTTTGAAACCTGAACTGCCTTTGTGCAAGCATCCCAGATATACTGGCTGCAATATAATTTTTGATATTGCAGCTTCACTAGCGGCTCATCCTATCCTGGTGATGGAATCAATATTGCCCCACCAAATCTTCTTTTTATTGTTGTTATTATTATTAGCCTCCCTTTTATTTTAAACTTTCCCTGTTTATGGATTACATTTTTAGCAGTAGTCTGGATAGAAGTACTGGATAGAGGTCCTGCAGTAGTTATGCAGTGTAACATGTAAGTCATTTTAAGCGTGTAACAAACCTTTACCTAATGAAAAAGGTGAGCAAGTTATACTGCAAAGATCCTATCTTTTATATTTCAGTTATATTCATGAAAGATTGTATTTGAAGATATTTTGATAAAGAGTTTTTTCTCATTTTTATTTTCCCATTTTTAAACAAGCAACTCAATTTTGGAGAAAGGGTAATTTATATTGGAGACAATCGTGTGATGCGATCGCTGAACAAGATTAAATTCTAGAACACATAACTAAGCTTTATTTGATGCTTCTTCCAAGCTAGAATTGACCAGCTTACATCTGTGGGGCAAACAAATGTTTAACCTTACAAAGACTAACTAGTTATACAAATCCAGGCCATCTCAAAAAACATATTCACAAGCGTCCCAGAAGATCCCAGAAGATTCGCATGGCGCATGGTGGATCGAATGAATCAACTCATGCCCCGAATCAAATCATCCCGCCAAAAGTTTCTTAATTCCAGCCTTCTGTTCAGAATTCAACCTAGTCGGAAACTTGATATTGAATTTGATTCTAAGGTTGCCCTTCTTGGATGGGTCTTTAGGTGTGGGCATACCCTCTTTAGGGACAACCTCCTCATAGTCTGGATGAATGACATTGTTGATGGGGATGGTAAGGGTCCTTCCATCTAGTGTGGTCAGATGGACTGTGTAGCCCGTGAGAGCTTCTGCTAGGGAGATCTTCTGTGTGACAACAAGGTCGTTGCCATCCCTTGTGAATGTGCTGTGTTGTTTCTCATCAATTATGAACACAAGATCTGCAGGAATTACGTTTCCTTGCTCATTCCCTTTCTCTGGGAAGGTGATTTTTGTTCCCTTTTTCCAGCCAGGCTTGATTTCTATGGTTAGGATTTCCTCCACTGGCAAGGTCTTCCTGCATCACATGATAAGTAAGGTCACTAACCCAGAAAATAGATAGATTGGTCACATGACTTGCAATATGAATAACGAATCATTCAATCAACAGCAGGGAAATGGGATGGTAGCAACACTTATATTCCTTTTTCCTTTTCTTTTCAAAAGATAAGAACACAAGAAACAGATCAACTCAAATCAAGTCCAACTAAAATTGGAAAGCAGAAAACTGCTGACATCCTTTTTACAGAAACTTCTGAAATTGTCAAATGAATGAATAACTGATTATGCACAAGTCATAAAATAAATTAAACAAGTACAAAAGCAAAAAACACAAGTACGTTCTATAAAACTGAGTGATAAGCAGGAACTTACCCACTTGCATCCGCAATTTCCCTTGATATTTTCATCTTCTTGGTAGTCCCCCTATAGAGCTCCTCAAGGCTACATGGCAACCTCTTCTCTATCGGTGAAGCTTTTCGTGGAGCCTGAGTCATGGGCCGGCCTTCTCCGAATGAGCTAAACATGTCATCTCCAAACAGTCCACCAAAGGACCTTGTACCCCTCATGCCACTACCAGCACCACCTCCACCTCCCATTCCACCTCCCATTCCACCCATGGGGCTTGAGAACCCGAAAATCTCAGCGAAAATGTCGTCCGCATTTCTGGGGTTGAATCTAAAGACATTTGGACCATCCCCAGTTTGGAAGTAGGTAGCTCCACCAGGACCACCAGCATCTGGTGGCGGCACCTGGCCTTTTAGGCCTTCTTCTCCATATTGATCATAAATTGCTCTTTTCTGGGGATCACTCAGAACCTATAAATTCAAAAGACACAATATCAGATTCCAAGCTCTGGCATTCGTACACCATCTAGAAAACGAAAAAAGATGGAATCTTTCTGTCATTTGAGGAATTTTAAATGTAAAAATGGAAAATTTAACTTATACAATGAGACTTAAATAGAAAAGGAGGTGAGGAACATGTGGGATTTGTTTAGAGGTATAAAACTCAGATGATAAAAAAAAAAAAAAAAAAAACAAAAACAACAAAAACCAAAAAAAAAAAGGGAAACGAAAAAAAGGAAGATAAGG